CGATCAGCTGAGGCTAGGGCGAGTCGCCCAATTCGCCCTTTCGGTTGCGTGTCACGCTCGCCATCCCATCCAAACCATAGTTTAGTTTTTTATATTTTTTTGCAGGGAAAACCATTGTTTAGTTTAGTTTTTTTTTTTAGGGAGAAAACCATAGTTTAGTTGATGTTGAAGCCACCGAAGAGGCCGCACCCGGACACAAGCAGAAAAACCCGTTGCAATAGCGAGGGGCCGCGCGTACGTGCGGTTGTCGTTCGAGCTGCCCGCCATTTTGGGCGTACGCGCGCGCCCAGCCGACGATGCCGCCGCCCGGCAGCGGCACATGCGTAATGCATGCATGGCAAGTGGCGCACGCCCGCCACAGGGCACGGCACGGCCGGCCGGCCGGGGCCGGGGCCGGCGAGGTAGCTAGCTAGCTCGCTAGCTTCCCGCTCTAGCGTGTCTGGGCATGGTGATGGATTGGACAACTCCCGGTCTCCACTGTCAGGCACCAACCCCGTCGCGCTCTCCGTCCGTTCGTCCGTATAGAAAGTTGCCTGCCATGCCATGCCATGCAATCATATAAATTTGTTATGGTAGATGTTTATATTTTTTTCTATAAACTTGATCAAACTTTAACTTCAATCAATTCTAATATGCAGAGTAAATAAAAATAAAGGGAATACTGTAAATAGCACAACATCAAATGAATTTCTGGACATATGCATGCATCTCGTTAGTCAAATTGAACATCTACAAATTGCGCCCGTCATACAAATCCGGATGGAGGGAGTGGCAGATTGCCAGATTTATAGTTGGAACTTGGAAGGAAAAAAACGCAGCGTAGGTTACGTAGGCCTAGCATTTTTGCAGATTGGCCGTGACAGAATCTTGAAGAAGACGGCTGGGCTATGTATCATGGGCTAATTAAGGTCCCACGGAGGGAGAGGCATGCGATCGATCGATCCATCCACCCTCCAACTGTAAAGCGTAAGATCCATACGAAAGAGACGTGCAAACAACGCCGCGCCTAGCAAGCTAGCGCGCACGGCTCGGCTGCCCACCGGCCACAACACGTACGTACACCGCACAACCACACCCATCATAGCTACGATGCTACAGTAGTACGTAGATACTACCCGTTGTTTCTCCCCTGTGAATAGTCATGCATCGTTGCGAAAAATGCCAACTGCGCTCGAGCTATAGGGAGGTCTTTTTCAAAATTCAAATTTCCACAACATTATACTTTCACACCTGGCGTGCAGAAAAAAGACAAATGCATATTTTCAAAATGGGCACCTTCTTTTTTTTGGTACAGCCTACAAATCACAATATTTTTAATCGAAATTTCACATGTTCGTGCATAACACATAGGGAGTACCTAGAACTCATCTAGATGAGATATAATTTGGTCTCATTCACTTTGAAAACAAGAACAAATACAACCCACGTCAGCACACACGCATCTTATAGCATCACATCCAATGACTGTAAAAGGTGAATGAGACCAAATTATATCTCATCTAGATGAGTTCTAGCAAAACTGTAACACATAACCATGAAAAAAAATTGTATTTTTTCGAAACTTTTAAATATGCCTTTTGTTCAAAATACCGAGCTCCCACGAAAAGTCTGCACTCGGTTGCGAAAAATGCTCCGGTGCTGCTTCTACTACAACTTACTACTACTTGCTTAATTGCCAGCGTACATATGGACTGCCTACAAAAAATTAGAGTCGACCGCCATGCCATGCCATGCCATGCATCTAGACGCGGTCGAGGAGCGGATTTACACGTACGTATGTACGTAGGCCTACCACCGCTACAGCAACGTACGAAGGCCAATGTACAATCGATCGATCGAATCGAAGAAAGAATGGTATGAATGTACTACTGTCATACTGTGGCACTCGCCTATCTCTGCTCGAGGAACTCCCGGACGACGGACACGTAGAGCTGCCGCTGCTTGGCGTCGCACGAGTCCATGGAGAGCGACCGCCGCATCGGCTGCACCGCCGCGAACTCCCCATTCTTCCTCGTGTCCACCGCCTCGTCGCCCACGCTCTCCGCCTTCTTCTTCCGGCCCCTCCTGCCGTCGGACCAGGTCTCGCGCTGCCCTCTCACCTCGATCACGATGCTGGCGCCGCCGTCGTCGTCGTTGCCGCTGGTCGGGAGCTGCTCGTCCCGACGGCGAAAGGACGGCGGCCGCCGATGGTATTGCGGGTGCGGGGCCGGCAGGGTGACGTCCCTCCGGCAGAAGGGGCACCGGGCGCTGCCCTGCAGCCAGGTGTCGATGCAGTCGATGTGGAAGGCGTGGGAGCAGCCGGGCAGCAGGCGCACGCGCTCCCGCTCCGCGAACTCGCTCAGGCAGACGGCGCACTCCGACACGGATATCCTCGGCGCCATCGCGTCCTCCGCCGCCGTGAACCTGACGACCGGGAGCATGCGGATGAGCGGCAGCCCGAGGCCTCGCTTCTCCTCGGCCACCGCGGGCGGGGAAGTGCCGGGGGTCACCGACGCCGGGCCGCCGCGCGAGAGCAGCGCGCGGAGCGGCTGGCACCTGGTGACGAACGCGTAGTAGCCCGCCAGCAGCGCGAACGCCGCGAGTATGCCCACCACGGTGATCATCACCATCGGGACGCTAGCGCTCGACGACGGCGGCGGCGGCGAGGGGGGTGGGAATGGCGATGCCGAGCTCATCTTGTAGGTAGCTGGCTGGCTGGCTTGCGCGCGCTCTCGCCCGGCCTCGCTATCCGGTCGGACGGATACAGTTAAAGGCGGAAAGAGAAGGCCGAGAGAGACGTGGAGCGGCTCTCTGTACCGAGCACTGACAGACAACCGATGGCGCAACAGCAGGGTGCAGCGAGCGGAGCGAGAAGGCTGAAGCCAAGAGGACTCGCTAGCGGGGATTGGGTTTCACAGGAGGAAAAGGAAGGCACGGAGTTTTCCATTTCTCCTCAGCGCCTCTGCCTAATCATCAGAGGTTTGGCACGTGTCTGGGGATGCACAGCGGCGTCGTCGAGACTGAACGCTCGCGCTCGCACGGCACGAGCGACCCTTGCAGTCTCGCGTTTATATGGCTGGCTGGCACTGGCAGTTGGCGAAAGAAAAAAGCAGCGCATTTTGTACAGCACAAGTGCCGTACGCGCCGTATGCAGTACGTGCACACGGGTAACCACTAACCACAGAGGCAGAGATCGCGTGACCAATTTGTCCAAGGGAGTTGTTTTTTGGGTTGACAATCAGGCGCAGGAGAAAGACCCCGTGCTTTCGATGTTGGGTCCGGGCACGGCAGGTGACTAATTTCGACCCATGCGCACACAAAGCTGCACAGTCATTGCATGTGCTGATTCTCAAAAAAAAAAAGAAGTCACTGCATGTGCTTAGTAGTGGCCAAATTCCCCTAGTAACAGGACGAGCTCAACTGTTACACCGAGGGAGGGAAGGTTCGTACGTTGTACGGGCTCCCTCTTCGGGAGGCACCACGGCCATTTACGCTACCTGCACTGCACACTGGCGGTACATCACTCACATGCGTTACATTACACCGCCTCCCCCGCTGGCTGCTAGGCTGGGCCCGTCGAGAGGGGACGACCTGTTTTCTTCAACTGCCGCCTGTTGAGTGAGACCAATACATGTGCAACAAGTGCTAAAAATATATATACATGTGCAACAGTGTGCATGTACCTTTGTTATTTATTACTATCACATATGCCCGTGCGTTGCAACAGGGAAGAAAATTAGCGTGTCCATCAAAATATTCACCCGGCGTGTTATACACCTAAGGCTGGTCATAGTGGGAGTAACTTAGCTAGTAACATGGCGTTTTTCAAGACAAATTTGCTTATATGTCGCGTAGTTAATGAGGAAAGAGGTGTTTAGAGTAACATATTAGTATATTACAGTAACATAACGTTTCCTGAAAAAAGATGAGTCTACAAGATGAGAAAAGAAGACTCCTAGCTCACCTCCATCGAGGCCGAGGTGTTAATGCATGCACCTCTTTGATTGTTATGCATGCCTCATGTATGCTTTTCCGGTTTGCTAGTTTATTTCACCATGAAAGCAATTCATGCGCATGCTTTTCCTCCGGTTAGATTCCCACGTACTCCCTCACTCCTTCGAAGAGTGTACTTAGTTGGAAAGTCAAACTTTTTCATATTTCACCGTATTTATACAATAATACATCAACATTTATGTCACCAAATTAGTAGCATTACATTCATGATAATATATATATATTCATCATATACCTCTTTGATTTCATAAACATTGACATATTTTTGCATAAACTTGACCAAACTTTAAGATAGTTTGACCCTCCAACGTGTTAGCCACCGGTAAATTTAATTTCTTCATTTCCCTAGCCATTATTTATCCATTTCCCTCAAGTAAAAGGAACCCACACCACATCCTCTATTTTGTTAACGGCTCAACTTGTTGATTCTCGTTACTCGTAGGCGTATATAAATTGGTGGAATTTGATGTAAAGAAGTGAGGTGGGATTATTAACTGGTAAAGGGATTTTACCTTTTGGCATCCGAGTTCGAGGAGCTCAGGTCAGGTGGAGGCCCAACTGACGACTTACATGGCCCAGGTGGAGGCCCATCCGAGCGACAACATTCAAAGCATTTTCCCCTATATATAAAACGAAATGCTTTTACCACTTACACCATCCTTTATTAGTAGGTATAGATTGTGTTCCTTCGTTTAGCAAGGGCCATGCATGAAGATTACACTCACAATCATGTTAGAGGCAGGATTTAGACATGAGGGAGACCAGCGAGATATCAATTGTATGCCCTCCTCCGGCACCACGAGTCTCGCGGCCTTATGCTCTTAGAAGCGTGTGTAGACCTTTGTCTGCCGCTCTCCATGATCGGCTTTGCCAGGTTCATATAATTAAAAATATGGTGTTCAACTTTTTTAAAACATATTCGTGTAATTTGAAAAAATATTTAATCAATGTGAAAAAATCCTCCTTAGCTGTAAAAATATATATCTATTTCTAAAGGTATTATCTTCAAATTATAAGTAAGAAAAATAAAAAGGAACAAAAAATTTCAAAGGCAGAAAATAAAATGAGAAAATATTAATGAAATTTCAAGGTTTGGTCGCAAAATTTCCAACAAAATTGCATTATTAAAAAAGGTGTTCATGCATGTTATACAAAAATTATCATATATTTAAAAGTAAGATTCGTGGAATTAAAAAAATGCTTATGCAGTTTAAAAAATTCACATATTTTTAATACTCTTTGTTAAAAAATTATGTTAGTTACATAGCATTTCTTAATAAAAGAGGAAAACATAGAAAAAAAAGAAAGAAATTAAGGATTAGAGACAAAATGAAAAGGAAACAAAGAAGAGAAAGGACAAATGAAATAAAAGCAGAAGTAAAATAAACAAAGGAAATAAGAAAACAACAAAAGTAAAATAAAAATAGAAAATGGAGCCAAACTCAAGGAAATAGAAAGATACCGCAAAAATAAAGGGATACCATGGAGAAAACAACAATTTTAGGGAGCGGACGTTCTACCTGTAGTCATGATGCGGTGGAGTAATCGTCGTTGGAACCCCTTAAAAAATCAGTTGAATTTATATTTGCGGCCGTAAATGTACTTTTTTTAACCTTGGAACACTTCATTCCATCACTGAACGTGCCTAGCAGAATTGCTAGCAACGAAACACTGACAAAGGTAGGCATTAGCGGAGGAGCTTTGCTACACGCACGCGGACATGGCAATGGACTATTACGAGGAAGCTGAGCTGGAATCATTTAATTGGAAGAAATGAAGATGAGGGACCCACAACCCC